GCCTGGAGCGTTGCTTGGGGTTGTTGTGACCCCAGGGCAGGACCCGGCCCTTGGCCTTGTTGAACCTCACCCAACTGGGTCGGGCCCATGGCTCCAGCCTGGCCAGGTCTCCCTAAAGAGCCCTCCTCCCTGCCCCAGCAGATCCACACTCCCACCCAGCTCGGTGTCACCTGCAAACTGGCTGGGGGTGCCCTCGATCCCCTCGTCCAGGTCGGTGATCAAGATGTTAAACAGAACTGGCCCCAATACTGAGCCCTGGGGGACACCGCTTCTGACCGGCCGCCAACTGGATTTAGCTCCATTCACCACAGCTCTCTGGGCTCGGCCATCCAGCTGGTTTTTTACTCAGCAAAGAGTACCCCCATCACGTTCTAGGCATGAACCGCCAGCTTCTCTAGGAGAATGCTGTGGGAGACATCATCAAAGGCTTTGCTGAAGTCCAGGTAGACACCATCCACATTCAGTTTGTGCCTTTCGATGGGTCTCCGGAACCCCCACGGCTGTTTTGAAACGGCCTAGGCCCCTGTTCCTGTGCCTTGGGTTGCCCCCATCAGGCCCCATCGTCTTCCTCCGGGCGCTCCCCGTTGGCCCCATCGTGTGCCTCTGAGGACCAGGCACGGAGCTGAGGGGCTCCCCACAGCCCCACCGCTGCTCTTCCCCTCTCAGTTCCCTCGACTTTATTACCAATTTCTTCCTAGTGTTCTGCTTTCCCGCCCGTTATTTTCAGGGAAACCTTGCTGGGAGCAGCCGGTACCCCTTCAATCTCCCTCTTTCAGCAGAGCCAACGCTCGGTACAGGAGCAGTTCCCACAAATCCCTGAGGTGCTGGCTGGTGCCGTTCATCGCCGGGGGCTGGATGTGCCCAAGCCCGGCAGCTCCGCCTGCAGAACCATTTGCAGGCCGAAACTTCGCTTCAGCCCCAGCTCCCACCCAGTCCCTGCCCAAGGGGTAAAGCACCGGCAGCAGCCACAGCCCCTTTTGAGGGATTTAGGCTTAGGGGACTGCAATATTAGCATTGGATGCCTGATCTCTGCCTGCTACCATGCTGTGTTTCAGCCTGAACTGCGGGCTGGGGCAGGAGAAACAGCAGTGGCTTCAGCCAAACCGTGCAGCCGGGGAGCGACAGCGCCTGTGCGTCCAGGAGCTCTGTGCACCCCAAAAGGCCTCCCATTTGCGCATCAGCATTGGCTCAAACTCTGCCCCAAAGCCTTGACTCGGGTAAGAGCAGAGGGTGCTCCGTAGTCCAAGTGCTTTCCCTAGGAGCAGAAATGCTGCAGGGCTTCTTTGTCCCCATGCAAGTCCCTTGGCTAGGGGGCACGGGGGACTGGCCCCCCGTGGTTGGGCTGGAGCTGCCTTCTGTGCATTCCTGGAGCAAAAGGGAATCTCTAAGAGACCTTTAAAAGTTTCTTAAAGCCTTGAAGTTGACTTTAAGTAACTCTTCAAGGCTGCTAGAGACTTTAGGAAGTCTTAAAGATGGCTTTAGGAAAGCCTGAAGACTAAAAGTCTTAAAGTTGGCTTTAGGACTTCAAGGACTCTTCAAGGAAAGCCTTAAAGTTGACTTTACAGAAGCCTTTAGGTCTGTTAGAGACTTTAAGACAGCCTTAAAAGTTGCCTTTAAGAATACTATATAGATATATGTAAGTGTATATACACACACACAATTTGCAAAGAGGTTTCTGCCTTTCCAATGAGAGTTCGTGGCCTGATGCTCTTCACGTACCCACATGAAGAGCCATTAAGGGTTTCACTGCCATTAAGGGTTTCTGCTCAGGCAGAAGGAAGAGCTCTGGACCCCTCCATCAGGAGGCTTCACCCCCCGTTACCCCTCCGGGAACGCAGCGGCTCCTGCCCCGTGTGCACACAGTGCTCACCCTGAGGCAGGGCAATGCAAGCGGCCAAAAAAACCTTGCCCTGGCCTGCAGGGCCATTTTTCTACTTTTTTCGCCTACTTGCCTGCTCTTTCGCAGCAGGCAGGCACAGCAGAGGAGGTGCCAGGCTTCGCTGCTCCCTTGCGGCCACACACCAGGGCCATGGTGGGTACCAGCAGGCTGGAGGGAGCATGAGGAGTCAAAACCCCTTGGGTGGTCTCTGGTGCAGCTGAATTTGAGCCCTGCCAGGAGCAGGGTGGGACCCTCCAGCTCAGCTCTCTGCCAGCATCTCCCCCCGCCGCAGTCCTGCTGCTCCATTCCCATGCACAGCACCCTGCGCCGCAGGACTGACAGAGGAGATGGATCCAACCTGGGTAAAAAAACCTCTGATTAAAAAAAAAAAAAAAGAAAACCACATCAAGATGGACTTCAAAGCAGCCCCTGGGATTTCAGGAAACTCTGTGCCTGTCAGGCGTTGGTGCAGCCCCCGTGCAGGCATGCAGCCTGCCGAGAGGTCGGTAAGCCCAGCTGCCAGGTACGCAAGTGGTTAACAAACCCGTGGCAGGGAAAAGGGTCTTTTGATCTCTGTAGCAATAAGAGTGCATCATCCATAAACGTTGCAGGAATCTCTACAAGAAAGCCTGCCCAAACCACTAACTCCTGCCCCCACCAATGGGGAAGATGTAGAAGCACATCTGGAAAATACACATCTGGTGCACAGTAAAAGGAATAGCCCAGGGAGTAGATAAAAATAACACGCTTAAAAGAAAATAACTATTAGAAGAGCTCATGCTAGTTGGCTTTTGTTCTTTGTTTTTACTAGGTTATCATAGTTTGTCCAAATTGCAAGCGTTTACCAGTTCAGAGTCGCGGAGCCCCCATTTCAGGGCATTACTTCAGCACGCGTTGAAATCCCATCCGCTCCTGTAGGTCTCAAACTCATGCATAAGTATTTTTCTCACCTCAAAAAATCACCAAGATTTTGAAATCATGGGGGAAAAAGAATAACATGCTAGATTCTGACCCGCTATTTTCAGGCAATGTAAATAAAGCAGCTCTAATTATTAACTTCCCGGAGCCGCTTTACCAGGGGGCCACGTCTATGCCTCTTCCATGTGGGTGTCGAGAGAAGGGAATGAGAAGAGCACCCAGACACGGACACCAAAGGGGGCCAATCCTTTAAATCACATGTACGTTAGTAAACACTTCATTAATGCTTTGAGGACTACAGACAAAGTCTTCAAGACCTAACTGCATGTGTGCTAGAAGGTGCATGAACGGTCGGTGGTCAGCTGGCAGCAATGCCACGGCACCCTTGGTAAACCAGGAGCAGCTCAGGGACATCGGCACAGACCCGAGACGGCAGCAAATTCAAGACAAACTGCACGTGCCAGCCTTTGTAATCCC